AACTCAGCATCAAGAAGACAAAGATTCTCACCACCAGGCCAATGGCAACACCATGATGGATGGAGAAGAGACTGAGATTGTTAACAATTACAGCTTGCTTGGCTCCACAATCTACACTCTTAAAACACCAGCAGTCAGGAAGTCAAAAGATGAATTGCACTGGGAAAATCTGCTGTCAGAGACCTCTCCAGAGTACTGAAAAGCAACAATGCTAGTCTAGAGACTAAGGTGCACCTGATCCAGGCCATGGTCTTTGTAATTACTTGCTATGCATCAGAGAGCTGGACAATGACTAAGGATGACAGAAGAATTGATGTCTTCGAGCTGTGGTGCTGGAGAAGAATCGTGAACATACTACGGACTGCCAAGATAACAAATCGGTCTGTCTTGGAGAGGGTCAAACTAAATTTCTCCTTGGAGACTAGGAGTTTGAAGCTCTGTCTCCTATACTTTGGACATGTGGCCAGGAGGGACCGAACCTTGGAGAAGGACATCATGCTTGGAAGGGTGGAGGGACAACGCAGGAGATGAAGATCCCTGATGAGAAGGATTGATATAGTAACTGGGGTAATGTGGGTAGGTGTGTTGGAATTAGGGGGCCTGGCTCAGGACATGGCAGGGTTCATAGCTCCTGTACATAGGGTCGCTATGCGTCCCAGATGACTCGATGGCACATAATAACAACAACGTATACACATCCCATATACAGCCCCCATATAACGTTGTTAAGTGCCATCTACACACACCTCCTATATATACAACCCATCTACAACACGTGATAGTGAGGGTCATCAAGGAGCAGGGAGTCAGTCCAGACTAGACAGCACCCCTCCACCATATATACATCCCCCATATATACACCTCCCACACCCTATATACACAGCCCCATAGACACATGTACACGCACTCTCCCACCCCTATATACATGCCATACACATATGTCCTCCCACAGTCCACATACACATACCCCACATCCCATATATACACAACCCCACACACATGCACCCTCATACACCTCCCCGTAGCCCACACATACACACTACACACATCTCCATAAACACCCACCCATCCACACGTACTCCGTGTACACACACACACACACACACACATCTCCATAAACACCCACCCCATCCACACGTACTCCCAGTGTACATGCACACGCAACTCCATAAACATATACACACCCCATCCACACGTACCCCATGTACATACACACCCATCCACACGTACCCCCACCGGGTACACACACACAATCTTCATAAACACACACCTCCATCCACACGTACCCCCACCGTGTATACACACACACATTTCCATAAACATACACCCACCCATACATGCATCCCCCCACCGTGTACACATACACCCTTTTCCATAAATATACACACCCCATGCACACGTACCCGACAGCGCACATGTACACACACCTCCATAAACATATACACACCCCATGTATCCCCACAGTGTACACATATGTGCACTTGCACACCCTTCCCCCCCCCCCGACTGGATCTTGTCTTTCTGGGACCTGCTGACGGGGTGTCCCAGCGGGTCCAGGGGTCTGCAGCTGAGGGCCCAACCACCACGCCCTCCTCATGCTGATGCCCACACTCCGCGTGGGGAGGAAAAGGCAAGACACTCAGGAGCCAGAGGTCCCCAGGAATCCACCCTGCTGACTGGGGCTGGGTACTGGAGTGGGCTGTGCCCTGAGGGCTAGGAGCAGGATTCCTGGTCTCTACCCACTTGATGCTAGGAGCACCCCAAGTCATAGCACTCTCAAATACCCAAGCCCTTGCTGAATGAAGGTTCCCAGCTGTCCAGAGGACTTACCTCCAGAACCAGACTTGGCGTGCAGGGGGCCAGCCCATCCCACTAAACTTGACCCAGGCCTCAGCAAGAGACACCAAAAAAAAACACCAGGGCAGACACTGCCTTCTGTCAAAGAAGCGTTTTGTCTTGTTTTAATATCTCATGGACTTTACAGGGTTACAATCGTCTTAAATATTTCTCAAGTTTAAATACAATCTGCATAATGTTATTATAAAATGTAAACTTTCAGTGTTCTTTTAAATTTCAAAATCACACCTTTTTAAATTTTTTTTGAGTTTTTTTTCTTCTTTTTTTCCTTTAATACCTGAATATTCTGTGAAAACTGAGAAGGTCCCGTGCCCGCGGGCGGGCGGGGCCCGAGGTAGGTGTGGCCGTCGCCTGGTTAACAGCTTTCTCTTCCCCTTCTACCTGAGTTGAGGCGCAGTCCCCACGCCAGTTACAAACCCCAGACAACTGAAATTTCACAAAGAGGGAAGGTCGTGATTACTCAGAAAAGGAAAAGGAAAAAAAAAGGAACAAAGTACGTAAAAATGATAAAAGGTGACTGTACAAACCTGACGATTAAAAACTAACCCAGCACCCCGCCCCCACCCCGCCCATCCCCACGGCTGGACAGCTAGACACTGGCCAGGCGAAGGGTCACAAGGAAGATTCTAGAAGCAGCCCATCTATAAACATCTTCAGGGCACAGGGTGCCTCCCTCCCTGCCCCCCGCCCCGCTAGCACACCTGAGACCCTGAGTTTTGGGGGAGCTGTCCTGTCTGTGTGCTGTGAGTCCTATACCCTCTGAACTGAATCTTACACATGGCCCAGGCCACTGCCCCCATCCCACGCAGTTTGCATAAGGGGGGTGGTGTGCTGTACCCCAGAAAGCGCCCCTTTCTCATCAACAGGTGCTGGCTGGAAGGTGGTGTGGGGGTGTTAGGGGGTTGAGTGGAGACTCCTGAGCTGGGACAGGGCCTGCCTGGCCCAGAGCATCAGAAATTAGGGGTCCCAACGGCTCGGGTAAGAGTGGATAAGGGCCAGGCCTCATCGAGGGCCCATCCCCACCACGGCAGGCACTGTCCCAAGTTAGAATTCCACCCGCAGGGCACAGGGCCGATGGCCCCCTGCAGCTCAGAAGCCTACTAACACCAACCCCCCCACACTGCCTGAGACCCACTCAGAGCAGAGGTGGCAGCGAGGTTAGCAAGTGACGGCCCTGTACGTGCAGTCCCACCACGTAGGGGCAGGTGAGCACAGAAATGAGTCCTGAGGTAGAAAGGCAGATAGATATTTCCTCAGAGGCCCTCCCCCGTATTAGAGGGGTAGGAGACACCCCAGAAGGCAGGTGGAGGAGGGGGCAGGAAGGAGGGGGTGGGGTGAAGGCAACGGTGCCCCGCCAGGGGGTTCTCGGACTAGGGAGAGGTGGCGCCCCTTCCTGCGGACAGCAGGGCCTTCCCTCAGGGATTGTGCTTTTCCAGCATTTGCCGAGAGAGAAAGTGAAAGGGTGAACCTTTTAGAAGCTGGAGAGGAAACCCTGATGCCAGCACCCACCCCTCCAGGAAGGTGGGGACACCAGCAACCCTGAGACATATCATAGAGAGAGGGGTTCCTCCTGAGACATGGTGCAGCCCCCAGCCCCAGAGGACGTCTCCAGGACAACTGAACCGATGCCTGGGACCCGCCTGGGCCCAGGAGGCGGCCACCCGCCTCACCCCAGCCCCTGCGGCTCCTGGGGCCCAATTACAGGCTAGAGCCCAGGAACAGCAGGCTTACTCACACCCTAGAGAAATCAAAACCAGTGTAAATGTGGCGAGGAAGACACCCCAGTCTCCCCCACCCCCAAGACACACAGCGCCCTGGGGACTGTGGGGCATTAGGGCGATTGGGAGCAAGTCCCCCGCTCAGCTCTGTGCCCCATGCCCACCTTCTAATTGGGGGGCACATCAGATGCAGGAGTGGCGGGAAGGGAGGGTGCAGCACCACCCAAGAGCTGACGGCACAGGGGATGGAAAGGCAACAGAGGGAGAGAGCGGCCCCCCATCCTCCAGCACAGCTGGCCCGCTTCCTCCTGCAGGCCGCTCCGGGAAGAGGACAGAGTCCAGGCCCAGCCGGGGGGGTCGCCCAGGCCACGCCAACCCTGAGAAGGGTCCCCCCCAACTGCAAGCACCTTCAAGTTTCTGGTTAAGACTTTCAGGGTCCTGGCAGGAGACGCGATGGGGAGAGCAGATGGGGATACAGAGACAAGAACCCAGGATGGTACAGCCACTGGTCACGGAGCACAATGTCCTGGGCACCTGAGTCCCTCAGACACCTGGGGCTAGTGTCCCGGGCCAGCCTGCTGCCCAGTGCCTTCAGGAAATTCACAAAGCAGTCCCAACATCATGGGAAAAACACAAAGTTATTACACTCGGGTATTGTTGTTGGTTTTGAAGGTTTTTTCCCTTCCCCACCTCTGCTTCTTCAAGTTCAGTTTCCCTGAATAAACATATAGATATATATCTCCTTTCACTAAGGTCTGATGCCCTCCCCCCACTGAAAAATAAAATAGAATATTTACAAAACAAACCCCAAAACCTCTTAAAAACCCTATATAGCTTGAACGTTATTTCTTTAAAATAATGTTAAAAAAAAAAAAGGTTTCCAAAAGCAACAAGGGGAAAAAAATATCCAGCTGATGTTGGCTCAGGGGTTTCATTTAACAAAAGGAGCTCGTGTGATGAATAAAATAAAAAGACAAAAAAAATGAAAACACACAGTGCAGGGATGTATGAGGTAAACAGGATTGGCCATACATTGCAACGGTCTGAAACAGACACCAGAGCTGTGGGTCCCCCGGGGCCACATGAAACCCCAGAAAGCTGGGGCGGGGCACATGAGGCCCCGAAGGCTGGGGAAGCCTCTCTTGTGATTTCCTCTGCTGTCTTTGCTATTCTCACAATCCATCTCTCTGAATGTCTAAAACCTGAGAAATTCAAGTGTTCCTTGGTTGCCCCTGTTTATTAAATTTTCTTTATAGATATATATATGTATATACTTTTCTCTCTGCTTTTTGGCGTCAGCTGTGGCTCCTCTGTGGTCACTCCGCTCCCACCCGTCTCCTCTGCCATCCTGGCCCCGGCCTGGTGCACCTGGACCGATGCTGCCGGGCCTGGCGGGCTCCGGGGCGAGGGTGGGGAGCCACGTGGTTAAGGCAATGAGTTATTTGAGGTAGAAGACGTGGGGGCTGCGGACAGCCCTGCGGGGCCGGCCTGGCCACCAGAGCTGCTGCTGGTCCCGCTGCTGGCTGCTCGGGTCCCCCCGCCGCCGCTGCCGCCTTTGCTGGGCGCTGAGGGGGGCGTGGGGGCCTGCGGCTGAGCAAACAGCACTCCTAAAGCAGGACGAGAGAGGCAGGTCAGAAAGCACCCACGGGGACGCGGGACACCCTGCACGCACCCTCCTCGTCCTACAGTGCACACGCAGGCATGCACACACACGTCACGGTGCACGCGCACTCGAAACACGTGCACATGCAACACACACGCACGCATCATGCGTGCACGCGCACTAAAACACGTGCACATGCAACACACGCACACGTCATGGGTGCACACAGAACACACGCACAGGCTCCAACACACACGCACACGCGCGCAGAGGACTCCTAAGACCAGCGAGCGCTCCTGGAGCGTGTGCGCATGCTCAGACGCCACGGGCGCGAGCACGCACGCGCGCGCGCCCCTCCCACGCAGCGCCCCCTGGTGGCCCTAGGCCTGGAGTGGCGTCACTGGCAATGGAATCAACTTAATTGACATGTATCTGCGGGTGCGCTGTGCTGGGCATGCGCCGCGCATGCGCAGAGCTCACGTTCGGCATTACTCCGGCAGAGGACCCCTGCACGTTGACAACGACCCTTGCACGCAAGGACCAGACCCACTGACAACGACCCCGGCACGCGGGGTCCAGAACCGCACTCACGGGGTTTCTGAGGCTGTGCATGACCTGGCCTCACGCCCCTGCGAGGGTTTGAACTGCTAACCTGATGGGTCCATGCCACCCAACTGCACAGGGCACCTCATTCCAGCCTCGTCGGGAGGCCCGTCATACCACACAGCCCCGCTTGCTCTGCGCACCCTCATCTGGGCTCCAGCCCCCAACTTCCTGGGTCACCGCTGGCGAGAAAGGGCCAGCAGGGTCTGTGCCCACCTGTGTACATGACGCCGTTGATCTCCACGGACATGCTGATGCTGTTACTGCCGTTGGCACCACTCACGCTCACTGCCGCGTCCTGGCGGCTCTCCGCGGCTGTGGGAAGAGGGACAGCGTTCCAATCCACACATCTGGCTGGGGGTCTGCTCCCGCCAGCCTCCACCGCACCCCCCTATTACCGTCTTCACCAACTGTCCCCGTGCACACACCCGTTGCCTAGGAATTACTCAAGAATGGGAACATGTTTATCCAAGTTTGTCCCATAACTCTTGGAGAAGCGGGCACACCCTGGCCTTCTAACAGCTGGCCAGGATTCTGCCATGGGCTTCTCTAGCCACTGCTCCATCACAGTTTGCCTGCCTTCTTTTTTTTTCCTTATTGATTTGCAAGCACTCTTTACATATGGTGGCTACAGGTTGGTCTCAGTTCCACACACAGGACACGAGTCTCAGCACCTGGCCAGTACCTTGACTATTGATCCGTATGCTCATGGGCAGCTGGGCGGTCATGGCCAGGAAGTTCTGCTGCAGGGCCCGCTGCATGAAGCGTTGCTGCTCGTCGGCCACCAGGGCCATCTTCTTCTCAGGAGGCTCCCCAGACTCCAGCTTCTCTCGAAGCTGCTCCAGGGCAGCGGCCTGTGCTGCCACGGCTGCCTGGGCAGCTGCGGCCTGGACTGCTGCGGCCTGGGCTGCTACTACGGGGTGACCCGCCAAGGAGACTGGCAGGCGTCCTGGGACTGTGATGGGGATGGCCGAGTCCTCCTCTAGAGAGAGATGGGGTGTTGGCGGCCAGCAGAAGCCTGAAGAGGCCGCGTCACTGCTGGGTGTCAGTCCCCCTCTCGGGAAGTGGTGTTGTTGTTATGTGCCGTCGAGTCGTTTGCGACTCATAGCGACCCTGTGTACAACATCCCTAAACCCTGCTCTATCCTGTGCCAATCACACCGCCTCCGACACACCCATCCCGATTACCCCAGTCACTGAATCAGTCCACCTCATAGAGGGTCTTCCCCTCCTGCGCCGTCCCTCCACTCTACCAAGCATGATGTCCCTCTCCAAGGACCTGTCTGTCTCTCCTTATAACATGCCGGGAAATGAACAGGCTCTTAATAGAATCCAGTGCCACCACAGGGACCACAGTCAGACCAATCTGAGGAGGCAGAGAGACGCCACTCCACATGGCGGGTGTGAGAAATGGGTGCTGACACTTCGACACAGTGCACCTTGGGGCACCCCAGCCGACATTCTCAACTGCTCTCAACAAGGAGCACAGGGCTCAGAAAGGGGCAGTGGCTTGTCCAGGGACAGTGTCCAGTGTCCAGGGACAGTGTCCAGGGACACCGAGCAGTAGCTTCAGGATTGGCTAATGGCTCAGTCAACTACATCTGTGATAACAATGGATTGATTACTCTTGCCTGCCACAGGGTAAGGAGAGAGCAGGGCACAATGAATAATGTCTGACTCTGCAGGACTGAGTACCCATTCTCATGCCAAGCTGAGGGACCTTGGCTGCACAGAAAGGGGAAGTGGTGTAGGCTCCAGTCCCCCAGCTCCAGCCACCCCCCCCCCGCCCCGAGCTCCCAACCCTTGGCTCCATGCCCCCAGCCCCCAAACCCCGACTCCAGGTCCTCAGGCCCCAGGCCTCACCTTTTTTGATCTTGGGCGCTGGGGGGATGGAACTGCCATTGGTGCTGGCGGCCAGGCCCAGGGATGGCACAGGCAGCTTGGGAGAGGACAGCATACCGTGTGCCCCACCTGGTGAGTAGGTGAACAGGGCGCCCCCAAAGCTCTGGCGCCGGCCCTCCCGCCGGTTGCTGTCAATGGCCGCCTGGAGTTCATTGGGGCTGCTGAGGCCCCGCTTCTCGCACTCGTAGGGGTACAGGTACTTCATGTACCTGCGGGAAGGTAGGGAATGGGGGTAGGTTGGCATCCTGCGGTGCAGAGTAAGCTTCCTCTGCCCTGCCTCCCGTCGGCGATGTCCTCTGCTGTCTCGGGCAGATCCGCTCTGACCGGGGGGCCCCGGGGACCCCGGAGGGCTGTTCCCCTGCAGCATGTTGCCAGGCCCTGCTCCCTTGTCTCCTTCAGCCTGGAGGCTCCTCTGAAACCTGTTCAGCATCAAAGCCCCCACTGAGCGGCGCTGCGCTGGCTGGACATGGAGCCAGGCCACGTATCTGAGGCGACAGGTCCACAGGACCCATCGTCACCGAGGACAGGGCCGCGAAGACACGTGTGTGAGCACTGGCACTGCCCTGGACCTGACAAGCCCAGGTCTAGGAGGGTGAAGGGCGGAACGTGGGACTGGATCAGACAGAAGGGGGCTTTCCCAGCGGTGACCCTTCACATCGCTACAGAGAAGACAGCAGGCAGCCGGGGCAGGCGCCCAGCACCACCAGAACTAATGCCTGCCTGGAGGGCATCCTTCTGGCCCTGTGGTCCCTGCACTGTGGATGCCAGGGCACATGGAGGCCTCCCGTGAACGCTAGACCCTCAGGTCCAGAAGGACAGGACTTCCTCCACTGCTGAGAGGAGAGGGGACCTTCGCCTGGAGCCGGTGCCTTGAATTTGAACCTCCAACCTCCTACACTACTAACGGATGCACGTCTGCTCCTGAGTGTCCACTAGGGCGTCCCTCTTCCTGCAGCACCAGCGCGTGGAGCTGCCCCGCGTGCCACCCCGATGCTGGCTCCAGGCTGTCTCCCCGGGGTCACGGGAGATGATGGCCTCATCATTCTCCCCAGAGCTGGGGGGTGGATTCAAACCACCAACCTTGCAGGTAGCAGCTGGGCAATTACAGCTGCTCCTAGTCCTCCAGATTTCATTCACTGAAGTGTGAACAAGCCCAGAAACTCCATGTTCATGTCCCAGACGGAGGCAGATGGGCCCAAGCCCAGGATAGCACTTGCCTGCTGAGTCCCTGTGAGCGCCCCACCTACTCCCGAGGCCATCTCCACCTTCGCCAGGTCTGACCCAGCCTGTGTCCCCTCATGGGTCAGCGCTCCCGTGTCTGTGCAGCTGAGGACTGCCCGGCGGCCGCGGAGGCCAGGCCCGCGTGCCCAGGGGCGGCCCGGTGCTTACTGGGTGCGCAGCGTGAAGGCGGCGCTGGTGATGGAGGTGGGCAGGTTAAGGCCTTTGGTGATCTCCCGCCACAGCTTCTTGTTGATGACCTCGACCAGGCCGCCCTTCTCGGTCACCAGCACGTACAGCATGAACAGGTCCAGCACCTGCTTGGCCATGATCGGGATGCGGTTCACTGGCGTGCCTGTGGGCAAGGGCGGGTGAGGACAGCCTGGCTCTCGCCTGCTAGCTCTGCGGTCATTCCCTGGGGTGGGGCATCCTGGGGTTGTGACTGCCGAGTGGTGTTCCCCAGCTGTAACTCAGGCCACCCGCAGTGTCAACCCCAGAGATGGGGCAGTGCCTGGGGACTGGCCGGGGTCACGTGGAGGAAGCCAGGCCTGTGTGTGTGTCCTCACCGACACCCACCTCAGCAGCACCAGTTCCCCTGCCTCCAGCGACCTAGCACCCTCCCGGGTTGAGGGATGGTTCACCCTCGCAGCCGGGGGATGCAGGGGTGGGAGGGAAGAGAGATGGACTGTGCTGAGGGGGGTGTGGGCTAGCTCAGACCCTCAGGGCTGACCCCACTCTGTGGCTTTATGTCTGCCTCTCCACCTTGTCCTGCACTCTCCAGCACCCCAATACCTCAGCTCCAAAGGTCCTGACATCTGGGCTTCCCACTCCTCACTCACAAGCGGTCCAGTGTCCAGCAGCCCCATCGAGCTGCAGGCCCCACTGAGGCTGGGGCCCCACTTCCTCCCCATCCCTGGAAGAGCCCTGTTCCTCTGAGGACCCTGTTTCCCAGCATGTCCCAAATTCCAGAGTTCTGTAATCGTGGGGTCCTAAGCAGTGGCCACAGCCCTTCTAGCTGTATCCCCCTGGCCCCAGAATCTAGGACAGGGGAGGGGACCGTGGGCCCAGCCTCAGGAAGGTTGGGGCTCTGAGAGGGGCTGGGATTGGAGAGAAGACCCATCACAGTGGGCCGGGCAGGGGTAGATCAGGAAGGTGGGGCTGTCGCCGAGGAAACAGCAGGCTCAGAGGGAGAAAGCTGCGGGCTGCCACCAGGACCCCTGCCCTGGTTTCCAGCCCCCTGAGAATTCTGGAAGAAGCAGGGTGATGTGGGAGAAATTCCTTTGCCTGTCATCAGCACAGAAGGGGCTTGTGGGGAAAACCCAGTGTGCAGGGTGGGGGATGTCACAGACTCTCAGCTCCAAAGGATCCCAGTGGCAGGGAGGAGGGGCCCATGGTGATGGCTAGGAAGAAGGGGTCCAGGGGCTGGGGTTTTGAGGGGTACAAAGCAGTTTGTAGGGTCCTGCACTCTGGGAGTGCCAACTTGGTGAGTGGGGCAGGACCAGTGGGAACAGACCAGTGAAGCCCCGTGTGGCGGTGTGGACTGCAGCAACAGGGGTCCCTGCTTCGACCTGACTCTGGCAGCTCTGTCCCTCCTAAGTCCTCCCGGACACCAAGCACTGTGCCCAGTGGCCGGCCACTCCACTGTGGGCTGGCTCTGGACTCCAGCCTGGGTAGGGAGCTTGGACAGGCAAAAGGCATGCTTAACGGAGTTGGGGGCCTCTCAGGCTGCACGAGGGGCAGCCAAGTCCAGGACAGGGCTGGGCTGGGCCGATAACGCCGATGGGGCCCATCTTGGCTAACTGGCCCCGGCATGGAGGGGTTAACCCCAGGCCACTGGGCAGTGCGGGTCTGGGCTGGGCGCCCTCCCCTTTCATCTCCTCCCGCCAGCCTGGCTGGGCTGTGTTTACAGAAGCTTCTGGCTGTGGGAGGGACTGTGGAGGCCCTGGACAAAGAGAAGGCCAGTGCTGGCTCTTCTCCGCCCCCCCTTCCTGCCTGTGTGGGCTGGGGGGGTCTGATCCCCTTGGGGTCTGTTTCCCTCTCTGAAAATCAGGGGGGAAGGTGAGCTCACCCAGCAGTGGGGACCCCTCCTCACCTCGCTTCTGCATGAAGCTGAACAAGTCGTCCAGGAATTCCTTCCTCCTGGGGTCCCCGTCCAGTTCATACAGCTGTGGAAGCAGCGGGTGGGCTGGTTAGAGGTGCCAAGCTGGGCTTCTCCCCATTGCCCAGATGTAAACACAGAGGCCCAGGCAGCCCAGCCCCAGAGCCACTGACAAGAGTCCAGATGCCTCCTAACCCCACGGTGTGGTCAGACACCCATGGTGCGTCATGACAGAGGGAGGTGAGCTGGACAGACACATCTGAGAAGGTCCCACACCTTGCGGGGGGTGAGGGTGTATGCTGCATGCAGATCAGACTGACTTAGCCTCGGGGGCCGGAGCCCCAACCAGAGTGTGTCGGGTCAGGCTCCCTCCAGAGGTGCCAGCAGAGGGCCCTTCCTGGTCTCACCCAGCTTTGGGGAGTCACAGGTGGCTGGGGGTCAGTGCCCACCTCGCCCCCATCTCTGCCTCTGTCCCCTCTGTCTGACCTCTGTCAGGGCCACTTGGCTGCAGCGTGCACGACCTTTAGGGGTTTGCTACTCAACCCACCACCGCAGCCACGCAGAAGAGTACAGAGGCTGGAGACCCCGTCCAGACTAGAGAGACCCTGCCCAGGCTCCGCCCCGGTGCCACCAGTGCCACCCTTGGCCATGTGACCCCGTGACTTGGTTTCCCCGACTGTCAAGTGCATTAAGGACAGTCCCTGGCCCTGCTGACTGCAGCTCAGGACTGGCGGGCAGCAGGAGGGCAGGCGGGGCGTGTGGGGGAAGTGGCCGGAGATAATTAGAGAGCGGAGCTCTGGAAGGAGGGACTTGGGACACAGAAACGCTGCCCACACACACCAAGCTTCTAATTAAGCTCTGGGGATGGGCTGCTGAGCTCAGACTCAGGGCTGGGGGCTTGAAGTCACCATCTAGGCCCCAGCCATCCTGCCCCTCTCTGGGCCTCGGTTTCTCCATCTGGGGAATGAGGACAATGCAGGGGCTCCCAAAAATGGGCCGGGGACCCCAGAGCCCGAGCCAGGCCATGGATAGCCAGGCTGTGCAGAGGCCAGCTGCCCAGACTGGCCGACCTGCATTCTTGCTGGCATTTCTGGCGGTCAGGGAGGCTGGGACCTGCAGGGGATGTGTGGCAGCTGGACTGTCCTGCAGACATGCACACACTTGTCCGTCTGTCCTGTCCTGGGTCTCCACCCCCAGAGCTGATCGCCACCAACAGGACCATCTCTCGGGACCCCCCTCCAGCATCCTGGGACAGGGCCCTGTCTGAGCTGAGGGGAACTGGTTTTAGCCGGCCACATGAAGTCGGAGGCAGGAAAGGGGTGACTTGGCCATGAGCCCAGGCCCCATGAGCTGGATAGGTCAGGAAGGAGGGACAGAGAGGGTGGCCCTGTCCACACCCCAGATTCTGACTCAAACCTGGGGCCCATGCCCGGCCCAGGACCCCAGCAGAGCCCTCACGACTGAGCTTTCCAGGTGTGGAGGCTCAGAGGACAGCTGCTCCCTGTGCGGGGGTTCAGCTGGGGACGGATGACCACTCCCCAGACCAGGCAGCAGAGTACGGGCAGAGCTCGGGGGCCAGGGCATTAATGCAAGGCCATAAAGGGGGTCCTGTAGGGCCCTCCAGCTGTGGGTGGAGGGTGGTGTTAATGGCCACTGCGGTGGGCGGTGGACAACAAAGCCGGCAGTAAAGGCCTCTGCTTTATGGGCTCAGCCTCTGGCTCTGCTCCCTGTGGGCCAGCGTGGCCAGCTGGGGCCAGCCGTTCCCAAGGCAGCAGGAGCTGGGGCCGGTGTGGGGCCTCCCACGGCACTGCCCGCCTCGCCTAGGGGCCAGAGCTGGGCGCGGGCAAGTGGTCAAGCCCAGGCCTGGGTTCAAGGGGTACCTCCTGAGATGCCCAACAGAGGTGCCCAACATGCCACACACCAGCTCTGAGGCCGAGGCGGAGATAAGGCCACTCCCCAAGGCCTGATTTCCAGGTGGGGGGTGGCCCCAGGACGGAGGGCAGGGTGGGAACACCAGGCTGCTCTGGTGATAAAGCCACCCTCCCAGCAGCCCACGGCCTGGGGGCCTCCCCTCCTGCACAGCCCGCCTCTCTCTGCTCCACCAGGGCTTCTAGGCTGGTTCACTCACGCGGTCGCCCTTCAGCTCTGCATGGTGCCCCTGACCTGTCTGAGGAGCCCACCTGCCCCCTCCAGCCACGCTGCCATCACTGCTCGTCACACCACCCGACCCCTGACGTCCTGTGACCTCCCTTCCCTGGGCTCGTGGTGCTCTGCCCACTTTGGTCCTCTCGCCACTGGCCTTCTCGGGGTTTTACACCACGTCTCCCTCCCTCACTGCTGTTGTCGGGGCCCCCTGGCTCTCCAGCAGGTTTTCAGAGGCAGTTACAACACACATGTGCGTGTGCACACCCCCCCCCCAGTGCAGTTCCCACCTGCGACCTTCTGGGGACCCGCTGAGCGCTTCGCCACGGAACCATCAGGGAGGGTACACAGGCTTAAAAGACTCTGCAGAGACGTGGGGTGGGGTCTGCCCACCACGAGGGTCTAGACCTGCGCTGTGGCTGCAGATGGAGCACCGGAGCAATGTGTGCAGGGCGCTGGGGTCTGACCTGCAAGCGTACAGGTGCCCCCCGCTGCCCTTCTCCGTCCACTCTCTGACCCTGGGGCTCAGGAGGAGCCTTTACCCCCTGCCCTGCTCTCCATGATGGGACTGCTGATCTGCCCATCCCCAGAACCATCCACTCCCCAGAAAGGGAGGTTGAGGCAGGGGGTGTGTCTTCAGGGCCCCAAGCCATCCCCAGCTGGGCAGACTCAAGGCCATTGACTGCCACCTGCTCCCCTCTGTCCTGTGCCTGCATGGCAGCCAGAGGGGTGACTCAGCCATTCCACCACGGCTTTCCTGTCCTAGAGCCGCTCCAGTGTCCATCCCCAGGACCTGTCCCCAAGTCTGTCCCCCGAGCCTCTCCAATGCCCATCCTCAAATCTATTCCCAAGTCTGTCCAGTGTCCATCCCCAAGTCTGTCCCAGAGTCTGTCCAGTGTCCATCCCCAAGCCTGCCCACCCTCCACTCTGCCCTCTGCCCCAGCCCCTGACCTGGATGCTTCCTGAACAAACTCCACGCCCCCCAGGACCTCTGCACCAGCTGTTCCTCCCTGATCCTTGCCTCCCTCCCAGGTCCCCTTCTCCCTGTAGCCTGGGGCCATGGTCAGTGATGGGGAGGACAGAGTGGGTCTGCAACACAGGACAGGTGGGGAAGGGACCCGATGGCACGCACGCACAGACACACAAACACCCTGCTGAGTGAGGAAGAAACGGATGGAGAAAAGGCTGGGGGTGGATGTTCTCAGGTGGGCAGGGCAGGGTGGACGTGCCAGGTGG